GGGTCCTGCTAAATCCCAACACTCTCACTCAACCCACCCAGGAGGCTGCTCCCCACCATCCCACCCAGTCCAGCACCAGCTCCAGCCTGCAGCACAGGGCTCAGGCTGGGTCTTGCACATCCCCCAGGGCTCCCTCACTCCATGGGCACCCTACAACAATCCCTGAGAGACAGTGTCACCTCCACGTCTGCTGACACCCACCCCAGATGGGTCCTACTGAATTTTACAAACCTCCTCCTGCACCAGCTTAGGCAAATTTTGCTCCAAGAGGTCTGCTACGACCTTGACCTGCAGTAACTCTGTGGTGGTGGCTGCAGGAGGGGACATGAGCTCAGCACTTGCCTGATGGGAAAAAAACACACACAGCAAGCTCTCTCCTTCCTTTCCTCTCTCTCTGCCATCCATTTGGTGGGCAGTGCGGCCCCGCTGCAGCTTTATCTTGGTTCTTTAAAAGGCTCCCTGGCTGACATACACACCGTATGGGAGCAGTCAGCCGAGGAGAGCTGTAAATCTCCCAAGGCCTCATCTTGCGGGGCACATTAGCTGTTTTAAACTTGTCAGCTTTCAGCGCTGGAAATTGACTGTTCAAAGCCCTTCTTCCCTCAGCATCCTGCTCCATTTTACACCGTGGAGAAGGTGCTGCATCCCCGGGGTGTTGGAGAAAAGGGGATGTGCGTCCCCCCACCTGTCTCCTCAGGGACTGTGGATGCTTTAGGGATGTTTCTTGAGGTCCCACCAGGAATATCAATGCCTCCAAGCCTTCTCCTTCCTTTCTGTCTCCTGTGATCCTGCCCCCACCTGGAAGTAAGGATGGGGATACATAACCTCACAAAGCGTGCCCGTCCACACGAGCTGGCTTTCCCATGTCCATCCATGCAGGACCACTCCAGATCCAGGCTGAGTGAGGAAGGTTTATGAAAATCAAGCTCAGCTTGCAGGCGTGCTGGTGGGATTCATTGCACACTGTGTGTGTGTGACTGCGAGCTCCAGCCCAGCCTCGCACGCACAGCCCGGGGACAGGCAGCTCTGTGCCCACCTGGGGACAATGCCCCCGCTGCCACTGCCGGCACCAACAGCTCGCCAGCCCGCTCGGGAGCACAGAGCGTGGGGGTTTCTAGGAGGAAAAGCTCTGCTTGAGCAGCTCACCCCGAGGCAAACTCCCACACGGGCATCTTCTCCAAAGGGCACGGGACCCCATCTGCGCACCCAGCCTGGGCACCCCACAGACGCGCCGTGGAGCCAACGCCGGGTGGGCACCCAGAGAGCACACAGCTCCTCTGAGCACGGCGATCCCTCTCCATCCTGCGGGGTGCGTGCTTCATCCCGACAGATGCTCCCCAGCCCTTGTGCGGGACACGGAGAGGAGACCCTGGAGCCGGCACAGCCCCTCACCCCTTTCCCCTGGGACAAACCCCGTGCCGTGCCTGGCTTCCATCCCCCGAGGAGCCCACCGGCACGGGGGTATCCGCGGGGCCGCTTCACGCCGGGGAACGCGGCCAGCCCGGAGCATCCGGCCCCGCATGGCAGCGGCTCCCCGGCCCGGCGTGCTCGGGGTCAGCGCGGCCGTGCCGGCGGAGCGAGGGGGGCCCGGGGCGATTAGCGGCGGTGCGAGCCCTGCGTCAGAGCCCCGCTTCCCCCTCTCCTTGGATACCGCAGCAGGGGGAGCGGGCCGGGTGGGAGGGGGCATCTGGCCCGGGCAGCGCGGGGGCCCCGGCGCGATCCGCCGCAGCCGCAAAATCGTTGTCCCCGAATCAGCGGAGCGGCGGATGACGCACCGAGCCCGCAGCCGGCGGCCGGGAGGGGGAGGACAGCGGTGTCAGCGGGCACCGAGCCGCCGCACCGGGCACCGAGCCGCCGCACCGGGCACCGAGCCGCCGCACCCCGCCGTGGGCACAGCGTGCCGGGAGGGCACCGCGGGAACGGGAACGGGAACGGGCCCGGCCCGCAGCTGCCGGCACGGCCGTGCCCCCCGCGGCACCCCCGGCACGGCTCCCCGCCGCGTCCGTCTGTGGCCGTGCCCAGAAATAATCTGGCGGCGAAGCAGAGCCAGAGCCGCGTCCACCCACCGCTCCACGGGAGCCGTGGGGAGCGCAGAGGGCAGAGGAGCCAGCTGGGCCCCTCTCCGGCGCTGCCGCCCTCTGATAACGCTGCTTTGGGGTCCTGCGGACCGGCGACAAGAGGGATGCCAGCGTGGGAGGGGGGATTTAAGCTCCCTATCACCTGCAGGGCAGTGCTTCCTTGGGGACCCTGCCAGCCCACTCCCGCGGGCAGCAGAGACACTCTGGCACAGGGAGGGCACACGGGCACCCCGTGCCCTCGGCGGGTCCTGTGGGACAGCGTTCCGAGCTGATTTGCAGCTCGCTGTCCATGGCAGAGGCTCCAGCCCGGCTGGGACCCACGGCTCGGTTATTGTGTCGGCAGCATAAACGTGTCGGAAATTGCCTGAATTAGCCATGTGCCATGAACAGGTTTATGGATTATGGGATGCAGAGCCCTTTCAGGAGCAGGCAGCTCACAATCCGGTTAGACAGCTCCAGCCCCAGTCATTCCCCTTCGGAGGACGAAAGCTCATTGGGTGCAATGGACAAAATCCAAGTGCGTCCCCTGTGTGGGAAGGATCCGTCCCAGTAAGCCCATCCTGCCTTCCCAGCTGCTGCCACCTCCTCACCTGATTTTTTGCTTCCTTGGGAAAAATTCGCCTTGTCTTCCCCAGAAGATACTATCCCTGAGGATGTGAGGAGGGGGGCGTTCCACTTTTGTGTCTAAATTGCATAACGAGGACTTTGGGCAAAATCCCGCATCCCACAGGGCTGTCCTTAGCTTGGATTTGGAATTAAAACTCACCAGCTGTCCTGCCTCAGCCCCAGGCTGACCAGGTCCAGGGTCATATCCTGCAGCAGCTCTAACAGGCTGCCAACAGGGACCTGAGGGCTGGATTAGCTCTTGCTGCGTTTTCTGTGCATGCATTGATCTGACCGCTTTTTTTTGGTCCATTTTAGTTTTGGGGTTTCCTGCATCAAAGCATTCCTTAGCTTTTTCCTAGAGACTCATTAGGACTGAAAGGTGCTGGGTGACCATGGCCAGCCTGATGTCCTTGGCTGGGCTCTCCTCCTCCTGCAGCCTCCCAGCCTGAACTGGAGCCCCTCCCAGTGATTTTATGGGGGAGTGGGGTGTCACACCACGGTCTGGAGACCATCACCGTGGGCAGCAGCAGGTCTGGAGGGGCCCTGGCTCAACGTGCAACCCCACTCTGCACCACTGCAAGGGCTTTTAAAAGGGGTTTATTAATGTCCAGACGTCTCGGAGCAGCCGGCACCAGGCTGGAGCGAGCCGGGAAGAGAGACAAAGGAAAAGCCAGCAGCGGTGGGGAAGGGCCGGGCTCGCCTCCCTGCACAAGCGCTTTTCCTCAACCGAGCAGCGAGAAAGCAAAACTGCGAAGTGCCTAAAATTAGAGCTGCCAAACCCCAGCTGGGGAAGCCTGGAAAGATCCCCAGGCCCTGGAGCCTTGGGCGAGCTGCATAAAAGGCAGCGGAGGGGAAGGAAAGGGAGCTTGGGGACCGCGGCAAGTAGAGCGAGGCACAGGGGGAGCGGTGGCCGCCTCCCCCCGCCGCATCCCGCCGCATCCCGCCCGTGTCGGATGCTCGCCCCGCGGGGCCCGGCGCTCTGATGTCCCTCTGAGGGTGGCTCTTTGGGGACACAGCTGTGCTGGTCCCAGAATTGTCAGCACCCCCCAGTCAGACATCCCAGCTTGTCTGTCTTGCCAGAAGATGCGCAGACCTCACGCTGGTGTCTGGAGAGCTCCATGCACTTGGGGATGGCTCCTTCAGCCCAGGGGCTGGAAAACAAATACCAGGGCCAGTCTTCAGCGAGGTTCCCAGCCCCACACAGTGTCCCCTGCCTTGCACCCGGCCACAAAGCCTGCTGAGCTTCTGAAGGGGCCAGCATGTCTGAGGAGGCCAGAAGCTGCATGTCCTGGGCCACCAGTGCCCTCACAGAAACTTGGGCACCCATCCCCACCCAGAAAACCAGGACAACAACTCTGTGACCCCCCCACACAATTACCCACCCCAGTGTGTCTTCCTGCCCAGGACGACACAATCAGTGAGTGAAAAGCACAAACTCTGCCATCAGTTAACACGAGAGGAGTCGCACACACCAATCCTCAGCATTCCCCAGGCCAGCTCCTTCCACAGAGGTGACTGAAGACATGGGCAGGACCAGTCCCACCAGCATCTCAAGGCTCCTCTGGATTCACAGGGCACCATCCTGGCCCTAATAGTGTGGGTGGCAGAGCCACCAGCCGCACACCAAATCGACATCTAAAACCAGGAAAAGCAGCAGCTCCACAGACAGGCAGTGACTCTGCACTGGATTTGGCTCTCCAGCTCCTATTTGTCATGATCAAAGTGACTGGGGTTTAGTGCCAGCTTCACTGGGCTCAGGAGATGCTGTAAAATGGCTGAGTCAAGGGCAGCTCTGGATCCTTTCTCTCAGTAACTGCAGAATCCCCAAAGGCAGCCCAGCACCTACAAGGGAGCAGTCCCCAACTTCTCCAGGGCTGGGACTGCACTCCAGGCAGTTCACAATCAGACCCTTAATTTGAGGTATATCAGCCTCTGTTGGATATTTGTCCATGACTTGTGTTGGGTACATGCGAAATGACCCAAGGAGGAAGGAGGCAGACACGTGGGATGGGAACTGTAGAGAAAAGGGGGATTTGTGCCAGAGATACTCTGGGAGTGGCTCACCCTGAGGTCACAGAAACATGGAATATCCTGAGCTGGAAGGGACCACAATGATCATTGAGTCCAATTCCTGTCCCTTCACAGGACAACCCAACAATCCCACCCTGTGCCTGAGAGAATTGTCCAAAGATTTCTTGAGCTCTGGAAGCCATAACCATTCCCTGGGGAGCCTGGTCAGTGCCCACCACCCTCTGGAGGGAGAACCTTTTCCTGGCATCCAACCTAAAGCTCCACAGACACAGCTCCAGCCGTTCCCTTCCGTCCTGTCCTGGCTCACAAAAGATCAGAGGTTGGATCCTGGCTGTCCCCCTGGCAGCCTTCATTCCCAACATGAGAGTGGCTGTGAGCTGTGACAGACCAGGGACACTGTCCTGGCTCTGCTCTGCCACTCCTGCCTCTGGTGTGGCTGGTGGGACATGCACCAAACAGGAATGGGGTTGGGATGGAAGAGAAACGGGTGACTGAGGGGACTGGTCAGGCCCAGAGGATTGCACAAGGTTGGTCACTGGGAGATGCAGACAGTGATGGAGCTGTTGCCAGAGGGAGGATAGGATTGGACAGGACAAGCATGATATGGCCAGATGATGGGATGTGGGATGCCATGGGAGAGGACCATTGGGACTGAACAAAGAGAATGGGGTTGGCTGGGATGGGATCAGGAGGGACAAAACAGAGGGGGAAGGATGGGACAGAATAAAACAGAAGGGATGGGATGGGATGGGATGGGATGGGATGGGATGGGATGGGATGGGATGGGATGGGATGGGATGGGATGGGATGGGATGGGATGGGATGGGATGGACCACTGACAGGATGGACAAGGTGAAGGAGACAAGAAATCCTCCTGGGAGCCATCTCCCCGTGGCCACTGGGATGGCCCAGCCGTGCTCCTGCTTGGAGCAGCTCCAGCCCAGGCTGTGCTGGCCCGGTGTCCCCGGCTGTGCCCTGGGTGCCCCGCTGGGCGCGGCGCCGCGGGCGGGAGCCACGTGCGAGGCCCGGCACAGGCGGCTCCGCTTGCCCGTGGTGAAGCGAATTGCTCCCTGGAGCGTGAGATCTGATTAGATTCGTGACACACACCGCAGCGTGGCAACAGCACCACGGCCAGGACCACGGGGTGTGCCCCACACCCGACCCGGGCACAGCAGGAGGGGCAGGAACAGCTCGGGGAGGGGCAGTCGGGCAGGCTCCGGGATGTGTCCAGCCTCAGACACGGGACAGGGTCAGGGCTGGCTGCCACGGAGCCTGGGTGATGAGCTGGGTTCTGCCACACGTCCCCCGGGGCAGCCACCAGCCCTGGGCACTGCGGGAGGGATGGAGGGAGGGTCCGAGGTTCCCCCACCCCAGTGGATGTTACCCCATCCCTACCTGAGGGCTGCAGGAGGGGTGAAGGAGATTTGGAGGTTTCCTCACCCCAGTGGATGATTACCCCTTTCCCAACTCCTGATGGATGTGAAATGTTGCTCTCCCAGATCTAGCTGGTGAGGCAGCTGCAGAGCAAACCCACCGAGCCTTGGAGAGCCCCAGGCAGATGGGGGTCAGGGGAGCTGCCCAGCCAGGAGAGCATGTGTCTTCAAAGGCCTCTCAAGGCAACAAACAGTACCTGCTTTGCAGTTTACCCTTCACATTTGCTGCCTTGAATGGCTCCTGAGCATGCCTGCCTCTTCATTTGAGATCTTTCAACAGCTGTCTGATAGAGAAGACCTTTATCTCGCCTCTCCCGGGCTCCCATCCAACACCAGTCTCTGGAGGTGAGGAAGAAGGGGAAAAAAACCAGAATTCACTCCTGACCGAGAGTCTCACCTAATCCACCGCGTGTGGAAAATTACTGCCACCACACAGTGCCCAGCCTGGCCCCCTTCCCACCCACGCCAGCCAGTGACTGCTCCCAAGGCTTTTGTGCCTGGGTTTTTTTCTCTCCTCTTCCTGCTGGGAGAATGGGAACTTCAGTGCTTGGACAAACCCTTGAGAAAACAACTTCACACGTGCTCGGGGCACTGAGTCGGTTTTTTATTTAATTTTGTCTCATCCTGAGACGGATTTGCCTGGAATCACTGTGCAGGCTGTGAAAGCCCCCCCAGCCCCCCAGCACACTGCCCAGACCAGGGGCCATTCGTGCCAGTCGCTTTGCTGGGAGCCTCTTAAGCTGTGCCAGCACTGCAAGCCGTGGCACCAAGCTTTGCCCCTCCCAGCATGAATCCAGCCTGGCAGTGCCACCAAGTCCCACTCAGCCCTGGCCACCTCACAGCCACATTCCACCCCCAAGGAGACAATGTGGAAAAGCTCTCCAGGATGGTGTTGAGCTTCAGGAGAGGTCACCTCACTCCTCTGCTCAATACAGGCACAATAAAGTGAGGAGTCACCTCTGCCACCCCAAGGTATCTGCACGAGGACCTCTAGAAATGAAGGTTGCTCACCCTGGGTTGCTCCTGCACAGCCAGAGAGACAAAGACACTGCCAAGCTTCCTCTGAGATCTGCAGCATGAATTCCACCCTGGGATCCACTGAAAGGGTTTTCAGGTGCTAGAACAGGCTGACCTGGGAAATGGTGGAGTCACCATGCCTGAAAGTGTGCAAAAAATGCACAGGTGCAGTGTCTGGGGACATGGTTTGGTGGTGGCCTTGACACTGCTGGGTGAATGGCTGGATTTGATGATCCTAGGGGCTTTTCCAACCTTCATGAATCCATGAGTTCACTGCTTGGGCCTTTGCTGGCTCCAAGGAATGAAGGCACCAGGCTGTGTTTGTGCTCTTCAGAGGGGCTGTGCCATCAGCATCTTCTCTTGTCCCCAGCACGTGCAATTGAATGTTCCTATGGCATACTCACCAATCTTGGAACTGGGATTAAAGACACACAGGGGCAGAGTTCCTTCCCATCTGGGTGCTCTGGACAGAGCTTTGCCTGAAGGAGGAGGTGCACAAAGCTTCACACCCTGCTGACTGGAAAGAAAGGATTGTTCTCTCTAGGTCACCGTTGGGGAAGTTGAGTCACAGGGCAGTAAATCTCAGAGCTCAGAGAAAGGTGGTTTGGCTAAATTTGTCTTGCCTGTGAATAGCAGGCAGAAGGAAACAGAAATACAAATTGTTTCCTATGGCAAATCAACCCCCAAGAGCCACATATTTTACCTCCTGTGTTCTCTTTTCACACCGTCCAATGGCCAGTTCAGACCGAGGCATTGCAACCCCTGTGCCATGTGCGACCCCAAACTCCTCCTCATCACTCTGGGATTGGTTGGATAAATCACAGGGAATTTGCTTTCTTCATTCCTCAAATTATTTTGGAGCTATAAAAGCACTTCCAGCACAGCTGCCAGGATCAACCTGTGTGATCTTGCCCAGGGCCACTGAGATCTGAGCCCTGGGGACACTCAGGGATCGATCAGAGCATGGACACACTCTGTGGTCAGTCACACCTCCCTGGCAGAGCTGATGGCACTCACCTCACCTGGGAGCTGGGGAGGGAAATGGAGACACCAGGGTGCAAACCCATTCTCCAGTGGGCAAAGGCCATAGCTGCCCGTGCACGGGGTGACTGTACAGATAAAGCTGCAGCACCACCGCAGTGCTGCTGGTGCCAGGAATTTATGGTCCAACTGCACCTGAAGTCCCTGCCCAGGCCCAGGAGAGGGGAGGCAGCTGCAGCCTGGCTGCTTGGGTGGAGAGGAGGGAAAAAACCTGCTGCTCTGGGCAAATAGGGCAGTGGGAGGCTGGGTTCATGCTCGGGGGGGTCAGTGTGAGGCTCCTCTGCAGCGTGCTTTGGGAAACCCAACCCCTCCCACAGCGTCCTGCCACCAGCACGGGCAGCCCCGGGGGGGACATGGCACAGAACCAGCCCACACATGGCCAGGAGGCAGCTGCCACCACTGGCAGGATGCTCAGAGCTCTGTGGACTGGCTGGAATAATCTTGTGCTGAGATGGGATGCTGGATAGTGTTTTCTGAAGTGTCTTCAGGATTTAAGGGCCCGGTTCTGTGAAGGAATGGAAATTGCAGGAATGAGGTACCTAAATAAGAGCAAAGCACTTGAAAGTCACTCTGGATCAGGCTTTTAATTTACCATTTAAGCATACAGTAAGAAAGCCTCTCGAAAGATAAGGGCTGTGTTGTAGAGATGCACGAGGCATCCATCTAACCTGCTCTCCCTTTTCCATCGGTGCCAGGTGCCTGGGGAACCATTACAAATGTGGTTGGCATGTGTAACATTTGCTTGCTCTCCTGATCTCCAGACCTTCATGGGGCATAGTTTTCTGAGCTAGAGAGGTGCTGCCTTTCTCCTTAAGAGCTCTCCATGGGCTTTTTCCTCGTGTCTTTGAACTCTCACACCTCCTGTAGGAATTGGGAGCACCCACTCCCCCTGCAGCTCTCCTTAAGGATGCTCCATGGAACAGATATCTTCTCAGGTTTCCTTTGAACCTGGCCCCTACTAACTGTGTTCCACCAAGATCCCAGCTGATACATGAGAAAAGGAGTGAACAACCACCCGTCTTCTCCCTGCTGCTCAGAAGTCTCTGCTTCCAGGAGTCAGATCTGCCACCACCAGCAAGGATGGTCCCGATGACACGGAAGAAAATCACTTTACACCCCTGGTCGTGGATGGCTTTGGACATTGTTTTCTTTTCCATCACTGACCAAAACAAAGAAATGCAGGAAGAAAATTCTGTTCTGCCCCATTTGCTGGCTCACGGCAGTTCACAAGTGACCTTGGAGCTCCCCACTGTGCTGAGAGCATCCCTGAACCTCAGTGCTGCTTCCAGAGGTGGGGAAAGTGAGCCCCAGGGCAATTGCTTAGACTTCTTCTGGTCACCTGGTAACAAGATGGTTTAAAAAGGCTCCCAAAAACAAGTCTGGCCAGCACCACTGGAGCATTTAAATTCTGCTTTTCCTCGGGTGGATTTATCCTCACCAGCACTGTTAATTCTTATTACAAACTTTTAATATCCAAAACAGCGAAAGCAGGTAAACTGAGGCACAGGAAGGGCTCCTGCAGCCTAAACAAAACCCCACAGAAAGGTGGTGACACGGGTGTAGATACCCCCACACGTGAACCCCTTGTGCCCTGACCTGGCAGGACAGCTGGGGACACGGGATGGCAGTGGCTGGGCAGTGGGGACAGGGCTTGAGGGTGGCTCACAGAGGGGCTGTTCCATAAGCCCGGCAGCCAAGGCAGGGATGCAGAGGCAGGGAATCAGAGGCAGGGATGCAGAGGCAGGGATGCAGAGGCAGGGATGCAGAAGCAGGGAATCAGAGGCAGGGGCACCACCAGCACGGGCTCCCCAGCCCCAGCCAGGCAGCTGATTAAAATGCAGTCCGGCCACCCCGGGCCTGTCCCCACCGTCTCCCGGCTTTAAATAATAGCTTAATTATCTCATTTACATTTGGCTCCTTTCAGGGAGGCACTGCAGTTGATTAACATTTTCCCTCCCGGTGTCTTGCTGGCGTCCCTGCTCCATCCCACCCCTCCCACGCTGCTGGTCCCCCTGCCCCAGGCCGGCTCCCTGCTCCCCCCAGCCCTGCTGCTCCCCGGGGCTCAAGACCCAGCCTGCAGATGACCACAGCAGATGCAGGTGCTGGAGGATGGGAATCAGTGCCCTGGCTGGGCAGCTGTGGGATGAAGGCTCTCCTCATCCTCTCTCGGTGTCCTGCCATTGCTTTGCTGCCGGCGCTGCCCCTGATCTCTCCCCACGTTCCCGCTTCCACCCCTCACTGGGTAGCTTTTAACTTTCTTTTTTATCTTCTCTTTTAAAATCTCCTTTGAACGCTCCAGCCAAACACTGAATTCCTTTGAAGAAGAAGAAAATGTCTCTGTGGGTTGTCCTTTCTCACCGGCTGGAGCTGTGAGAGATCCCAGTGCCCAGCCTGAGAGCCCTGTGGCTCCCCCAGCCCCGGGCACATCCCCAGGGCTGTTCCTGGAGGAGACCAGCACCCGAGGCATCACCAGCCCTCACCTCCCAGACCCTCCAAGCCCTGTCAGCTTGCCCAGAAAAGCTCCTTCATCACATGGGGTCTCTGGGACAAATTATTGTCCCCTACCTCACTGAAGGGGAGATTTTGCGACAAAATGTATGTGTGATTATCTTCCCGGGCCCCAAGGCCAGGAGGCAGAGGAGCAGCCAGGAGGACGTGTGTGAACCCCCTGCTCTCCCCACCGGTCACACCATGCCCTGAACTGGGACAGGACCTCACAGACAGGGGCAGGGAGGTGATGCCAGCGGAGCCCCATCCCGCTGCTGCTGGGAGAGATGGATGTCCTCAAGGCTCTTCATTAAACCTGCTCATTGCTGCATGTTCCTGCAGCCCTTTCCCCCTTCTCCCACCCCTCCCTTGGCTCCCCACATCCCTCCCCAGGCTCAGCACAGCTCAGCACTGCGGACCCCGCTGCTGAACCCCCTCCTGCGAGCCTGCCAGGCATCCCCAGATCCTCCCATCCATCCTGCCCAGCCCCGCTGCCATTTCCCTGGGACAGCCCTGTCCCCCCTCCCTGTGCCCTGTCCCCTGTCCCCTGTCCCCTGTCCCCTGTCCCCTGTCCCCTGTCCCCCTCCCTCTGATCCGCTCCCTGCCAGCAGCCCCCGCTGCCAGGAGAGTCTGTGCTCGGTGCAGAGGTGCTCTTTTAGGAACGTGTATTTTTAATGGGTATTTCAGACGTGACGCAGGCACGAGGGAGCAATTCTCCCGTGCCCTGGTATTTACATCTCTGAGCGCAGGCAGGGGAAGGTTTGGCGGAGGGAGCCGGGCAAACAGGAAGGGAAGGAGCTTTGTGCTTTGTATGGCCAGGCTCCATTACAGCCTGAAAGGCGAGGAGCCCATCCGGGTATTGCCCTCTCCAGCCAGTCCAGGCTGCAATTAGCTCCTCGCCAGGCTCAGCAGGCTCTGGGAAAAAAAAAAAAAATAGATCTCAAGAGCTTCACAAATGATCACTGGCTCGCTCTTGGGGGCGCGGGGATTTTAGGGCACCATCTGCTCGCTGTGTTCTGCCAGCACAGATCCTAAAAACTCCTGGGTTTGTTTCACCTGGCTCCTGGAAGAGAAGGAGAGCAAGGGAGAGCCCCGAGGCTCCCCACCGTGCTGGGGGTGAGGGATGGGAGGCTGGCACTGGGGAGGTGATGCTGGTGGTACTGCCAGGAGAGCTTAGGGTGGGATGTGAGAGGAGATCCCACAGAGAAAATGGGGTGGGAGGTGCGGAGGGAAGCTGGGATGAGGTTTCCCACTCCCTCTGGGATTGACTTTCCCACAGAGGGATGTGATTCCATCCTGGGGCATGTCCAGGCATCGCTCTGCTGTTGTTGCAAGAGGTGCTGGCAGGAGCCCTGTGAGGGTGCCTGTGTTACCAGAGGGACAGAGCCAGCCTGGCACCCCTTGGGGAGCTCACACCACAATTCAGGTCACTTCTGAAGCCCACACAAGCCATTCAGGCCACCAAATGCCACCCCCAAGCTGCTGGCAGGCTTGGGTGGTGCCCACCACGGGGACAAGAGTGTGTGACAGCAGAGGGGGGTGGCATTGCTGCCTGAGGACCTGTGCTGGCAGCCAGGAGGGTTCTCCAGGGAATCTGTCACTGTGACTGGGGGGACTCCCTTCGAGCTCCAGGCCACATGCCATGGTAAAATTTGATGGCAACAGCATTTTCCACTGTTCCAGGGCAGTTTCTGGGCAATGATTGGGAAAACTAAGCTGCAGAGAGAGTAGGAAAAGGCAAAAAGAGCTATATGGAAAAAATGGATGGAAATATAGAAGAATCATGGTGTGATTCATGGGCTGTCCTGTGCAGGGCCAGGAGATGGACCCAATAGTCCTTATGGGCCCCTTCCAGCTCAGGATATTCCACGATTCTCTGATCCTGTGTATTGTGCTCAGACCAGCAAGCTCTGGTGTTGAGCCAAACCAGCAAACACTGAAGTGGTGCAGGTGAGTGAGCCAAGTTTGACCTTCAGGCTCTGCCAGGACTAAAGTAATGTGCAAGGGGAGGGTCTGTCCCACTAAACCCAACTCCAGAGAGCCACCACGCTGCTCTCAGCACACAGGAACTGTGTTTTCTTTGAAGCTCTTTCAATCTCAAAGTCCTGCCTGGCAATTATACCCATTTTCAGGTCTGAATTTGCTGGCCTGTCTCTAGACATATGCTGGATGATATGATATGGAGCAGTTGGGCATAGATTTCCACGCAGCAGCGCCGTCTGCTTCCCAGCGCTCCCGCTGCGGCTCTCTCTGCTCCTGCAGCTCTCTGAAACCCACAGATTAATATTGGGGTCTACAGGAGGCTGGTTCTGCATCTCAGCACGGGCAGGGAAGGGGTAAACCCAAATCCAGCAGAGCAGGGACAGAGTTTGGACAGGGTTTGGGACAGGGGGAGCAGTTCTGTCACCACAGCCGGGTGCAGGTCACCCAACTCTCCCAGGCTTTTTCCCACAATGTTGGCCATAAACATCCCAACATCAGTGAGGAGCACCATGGTTGTTCCTGCAGACAGGGAATGGGATGTGGCAAGCTCTGTGGGGTGCATTAAACCCAGCCTCATGCCTTGCTTTCCAGGGTTGTCCACACAGTGAACCACCAGCACATGTTTCCTGCTGTCCTCCCCAGCCTTGCCTAGGATTTCTGGGCATGAGAATCATTCAGAGAAATAGTGGGGCAGACCAGAAGCTGATTCTGGTTGCCATCATCAGTAGGTTCCAGAGTTAAAACCAAGCTGTTATCATGGCAAAGATTGTCCAAGGAAAGGAACTGCAGACAAGGCTGCACCCCCAGACACGGCGGGGTGATGGCTGCAGCTCCCAGCACACTCTGCCTGTGAGGGCTGGCTCTGCCAGTCTCCTGCCTTCCCTTGGCACAGCACCTGCCTCTCTGCAGGGTCCCCCCCATCAGGACACGTTGCAGCAAGGCTCAGGGGCAGATTTCCCTCTTTGTGTGGGAATCCAGGGCTTCCCTCTGGCTGCCCTGGCAGGTCTGGGACCCTGGCAGGGGTCAGGAACACCCCTGGACAGAGCCCCCAGAGACACTGTCTGTGATCTCTGTCCATGGAAAAGAGTTTTCAATCTTACAGGATGAATTACAAGCTTTGAGTGTTTGATAAGAGTAATAATTAAGTGTGACACGGGTGCAAAAGTAAAATTTTTGGTTTCTAGATTAGGGGTTCAGAGGGGACAAGATGGAGGAAATTGGGTGTGCCTTGTCCTTTTTCTCCTTCTTCATGCCCTCCATGTTTCACTGTGGTGTTGGCATTTTTCTGTTGGTTTAGGCTGGGGACACACTGTTCAACGTAGGTGACAGATATTGGCACGTTATTGTAAATGCAGCACAGGTAGTTTGTGGTATTTAATGTTTGTAACATCCCACTGAGGGCAGAGCCCCACACGCTGCCCTGCAGGACAGAGCTGCGGCAGGGCAGCAGAACATGTTAGAGATAAACAGAATAAACAACCTTGAAACCAGCACAGACGAATTATGGCTTCTTCTTTGGCAACGGGGCAGAAAGACAGAGACTTTCTACAATCTCAGAATCATCAATACCTCAGATTCCGACAAGGAAGGACACCCAGTGCCGTGGTCCAGCCTGGGGATGCTCCCAGCAGCTGCCAGTGGGTCGGAGGTGGCCAAGCCTGACCCCCACCATGTTTCAGCACAAGTTTGGCACCCAGTGAGGTGTCAGTCCCCAGTGACTCCATCCCAGCTCCCAGCCAGGGCCAGCTTTACCTCCCCGTGCAGGAGGGAGACCCTGGCTGGGCGTGGGGTCCAGCCTGGGGTCTCCTGCACTTTGCCAGCTGTCTCCCCTGCAGTGTGTAGGGCGGGGGCTGAGGTTACCTGGCTCCTTGATGTGCTCTGCCCCTCTGGTTTGGCCCTGTTGGAGCCACGAGGGAGTGATGGGTTGTGCATCCCTTCTGAGGAGGGCTTGCAGCCCAGGAGACCCTGCAGTGCTCAGGCTGGAGGAAAGCAGGGGTGAGAGCACAGCCTGGCCTGTGACCCTCACAGCACTGCCAGCACTGCTGTTTAAGGGCTGAAGGAGACCCCAAATCTCACATCAGGACCTCTCCAAGCCCCATCTCCCACGGAGCTCCAGCTGAGTGAATCCTAGGCCAGGTCTCTGTACCACTGAAGCTCCTTCCCAGCCCCAAACACCACGAGTGGCACCATTTCTGCTGCCTCGCCCCACCAGCCTGTGCTGGGGGCCACAGGAGGCTGGAGTCCCCCCTGGAGCCCACCGTGCTGCCACGGCCTGGCCCCCACCTCCCCTGCACAGCGCTGCCCCTAAAAACCAAAGCCACATGCCTTGCTCCCAGCTGCTGGAGAACAGCCAGGAACCACTTCCAGACTGCGTCACCATATTCATGGCCTCTCCTGGGCTATATTTAGTTTTGTGACTGCAGGTTTTTCTGGACGTGGAGCTGCTAAAGAACTGGCACTCCCCACTCAAAGCAGAGCGCATCCCCAGGGGGAGCCGAGCTGCGAGGGGGGAGTGCACAGGCTGAAGGATTGGAGCATCCCCCAGGTGAGCTTTGCCTCGCTGACAGCACAACCAGCACACCACAGGTTTAGCCCTGCCCGTCTCCTCTGCAGGGAGGGTGTGTGGAGCTGGGGAGCTTGTGCAGAGCCAATTTCATTTTGCCGTAGCCAGCAGATCTGGAGAGGATGTGAACCAAAAGCTGCTTTGCAAAGAGGTCACAGAAAACAGGAGGGAGGAACTGTGGCTGTGCTGCACATCAGGCACTGTGGGCTGCAGGTTTTTTAGGAGCTGAGCTCAGGGGCACTGGCTCAAGCAGCACAGCCTCCCTCTGGTCCCCGAGTGCTCCAGGGTGGCCTGCAGCCCAGCAGGGCACGGCAGGAGTGCACCCTGGGCATCCTGCTGGTCCCTTTGGCTCAGGGACAGCTGGGCAGCTGCCAGACCTTGTGATTCTCCTCCTGCCCCGCTCTGATACCTGGGATGATCCTGGGGTGGGGCCCGTGCCCAGGAGATGCCATGGATGGGCTGTGGGCTCTGTCAAACCCCAGGTCCTAGTGCAGAACAGGGGAGCTCTGAGCAGCCTGGGCCAGTGGAAGGTGTCCCTGCCCACGGCAGGGCATGGAATGAGAAGAGCTTTAAGGTCCCTTCCAACCCCAACCATTCCAGGATTTTATTTTATGGCTCTGTGAAGCCAGTGCCTGGTGATCCATGGCCTTAGACATGGTTCAGCCACCTTCCTCCAGCCTTCAGGAACCCAAAAACTGCTTTGCAGTTCATTGTGTGAGCAGGTGGAGCAGTCCTGGAATGCTGACCTCAACATAAAGTGGCAGAATTTCCCAGCTCAGAGGGGACCTCAGGAGGTCTCTAGTTAACTTTCTGCTCCAAGCAGGGTCAGCTGCAAGATCTCATTGTCCAGCAGGGCTTGAAAACCTCAGAGGATGGGACAGTGCAGCGTTCCTGGGCAAGCTGCTGATGACTGGCTGCCTTCCTGGAAAAAGGTGTGTCTTTATCACCACTCTGAGCTTCTCTTAACTTACCTCATCCCTGTTGTCTCTCTTCCTCTCACCAGACACTGCTCTGAAGAGTCTGGCTGCCTTCTCGAACACCTCCTCACAGGTACTGCATGGCTGCTTTAGATCCCTCTAAACCCTTCACTTCTCAAGGATAAACCTCCTGCTGCTGTTCTCATCATCCTGGAAAGGGGAAAGAACTATCTTCAGAAAGAAAAGGAAAAAAAAAAAGCCAAACAAAGAAAAGAAAAAATAAAAATACAAAATACAAAAAAGAAAGAGAACTACCTCAAAGTCTTGTGACCCTCTTCAATCCCACTAAAAGTGATGGCAAATGAGGAGATCCCATCCCATCATAGGGCTGCTCTAAGAATCAGGAACAATAAATCAACTCTCCTCAGTCCAAGATGTTCCCATCTCTTTGCTGACAGCAGATAACACAGGGCTGTGAATATTCCCAGCCTGGAACATCTCTGAAGGAAAAGAAGCTGCTGCCTGCAAGGCAGGGAAGCAGAGATACTTCATAGGTAAAACAAGGGAAAAGGAGGCTCCAGAGGTCTCAGGTAAATCCATTAATCCCACGGTGCCTTCATTTGCCACGCTGCTCCTGAGGAACCGGTGCCTGAATGCAGGAAATATCTGCACAGAGCAGCAATTGCTGCTGATCAGCCTCTTCCCCTGGCTGAAACCTCTGCCCTGTGCTGATTGCACAGAGCCTCAGCACGAGCCAAACCCAAAACTCAGTGCTCCCGTGGCCAAGGTGAGCTCCCCAGGAGGTGAGCTGTATCTTTTTCCAGGCTGACAGCAAGATGAAGAGGGCTGGAGGCACAGGAGGTAGCTCCATCCATCAGGAGCACATCTGGGTATCACCACCATCAGCCACCATCAACCATCTTCCCTCTGCCTCCAGCAGTGTCCCTGCAATGTCTCCTCAACCAGCAGTGACCAAGGCCAGCCCTGGTCGCAGGGACAGCAGTTCCAGATGTGGCAGCTGTGGACAGGTAGGCTGGAGACTGGAAGTGAGCAGGGATGTTGGAGGTGTGATGGAAAGAGGGGGTTTAGAGCAGTGTGGGGGGCAGGTGGAGCCAGAGGTGACCAGGCAAGAGTGACACGAGCCCTGGCTCTGCTGGAGGGGACCAGCTCCCATGACAGTTCCACTGGGAGCGGGCATAAAGGTGAGAGCAATCCAGGAAGCCTTTGGAAGCCACCAGGAGACTTGGAGAGGGTCAGGAGATTGCAGGTCTCATCTCGAGCTACTCATTAGCCACAAGGACTCTGGCCTTTCAACCAGGCTAATTACTGATTGCTCAAAGGATAACACTTCCCACAGCTGTTAAACTTGCTGACACTGGGCCCTGGATGTCTTCTATTCTGGGAAGGGGGAGTGGAGTCTCCTAGTGTGAACTTGTGGAGCTGGGCAAAGCCACACTGGAGCAGAGATAAAGTCAAGGACAGCTGCAGCTGCTTGGCAATCATTCAAAATGAGCCACGAGTCACTGACTTGGCTATTCTGGGATGAGCTGAAGAGCCAGAGCTGGGGAGAACGAATTCGTGGCCTGCTCACACAGAAATGGACTGCAGCAAGCCTGGACCTGACCCGTGCCAGGCACATTTGTCAGGGTCCTGATGGGAGCTGCAAAGATCTGTCCCTGCTCACCAGCGAGGAGCTGTGGCTGCAGATCTGCCCTGAGTCTGATCTACCAGAGCTCTCAGGTCTCCAGCAGGGGAGGACCACACAGCTCCCTGAAAGTCACAGAGAGAAATCGCTGCTTTGAGGAGTTTTCAACCCTTCAGGTTGCCTGAAATTGGGTCAGAGCCTTTGCCCAGGGCTGCCTTGCCTGAATACAACTGCTGCAGAAGTTTCTAGAGAACCTAGCAGAGGCTCCCCAAGTCAGAATTTACTGTGGAATGGGGTGGATGAATACTGTGATATTCCCTGAATCTGCAACCAGTGACCAGAGTAATCCTCTCAAATCTTTGCCTAAGGCAAAGAACCTGAATTGGAACCTGAATTGTTTATGTGCTGTATTTCCCAGCTTTTGGGTGGGAGGCTCTGAGTGGCCCAGCAAGGTCTGTTCCCTGCCTGCAGTACTCCCAGCACTGCTGGGACTGACCTGACCCCTCCCCACAGCCCAGTGCAGGTCACCCCAGAGCTGCAAGACTCAGATAAACAATTAAGCTCGTTGGGAGCTCACCCAAAGGACACCAGGCCTTTTGAGGTCACTCGCTGCATATGCTGGAAAGCAGATATGATCTCATTAGGCAAATATTTATGATCAATATTGTCCACACTCTGGCTATGAACAGCATCACCTGGAGCTAGCAGCTCTCCAGGGATGGATGTGGGTTGACAGGAGAGCCTGGGCTGAGCATGAACCTCTGCTCACCTGCCTTGGAAACACCTACAATTCCCCTAAACATTTTTTTTCACGATTCACCAGGAGATTAATTAGCTGCTCGGAAACCCCAGACATTAATTATTGATTATGCAAAAGATTTTGTTCATCACAGTTGCTGAGCTTGTCAGTGCTGCTGAGGACGTCAGGATGGAGGGGAAGGCTGGATGGGCCCTGGAGAGGGAATGGATTTGCCAACGGTTTCTCATGGTGGAACGGCTCCAAAACAGGAGCCAAGAGTGGCAGTGAGAGCCCAGCTCAAGCAGGGCTGCCCTGAGGGGTGGGAAACTGAGACACAGGCCAGCAGCACCCCTTCAGGGAGCAGACACAGCATCCCCTGCACCCTGGGGTGCCCGGGCTGAGCTCGGGGCTGCTCCCGGGGAGGAGGGAGATACTCAGCATCACCTCCCCCGGCAGGGCCCAGCCCGGTGCCGGCAGCCCCTCCCGGGCCGGTTCCCGGGCAGAAGGAGCCGCAGACCGGGTGGCAGTGATAAACCTCCCGCACCGCCCGGCAATTAATCTTGCGGAGCGGTGAGTCAGAGTCACCCGGAGCTGCCTCCCCTCACCCAGAGCCAGCCACCGCCGTCTCCAGAAGCTCTCGGCTCCAGGGACCTGCAGATGCCACCTGGCTGGGGAGAGGGATTTTTTTTTTTTAATTTATTTTTAATTTTTTTTTTGTGCTGTGCCATCACTGAGAGGTGCTGGATTCCCGTACGGACCTCTCCGCTGCCCCCACGGGAAACAAGACCCACCGACACCCGCATGTGCCCGCCCATCTCTGCGGAGGAGTGGGGTGCTTTACTCCCAGCTTCTCTGGCCATCAGGAAGGCGAGAGGGAGATGCCATCCTCATGATAAAGCCCATATAAAAAAAGGTGTCAAAAGCCAGAGGGGAGGAGGAGGCAGGAAGGACTTAAATAAAACCCCCGGCAAGGAACGGGTATATTTAAATCCCACCAAGAAAATGCCCCCGCACATTTTTCCCCTGTCCCCACCCCCAAAATCTGCGGTGCTCCCCAAACTTTCCCAAAGCTTTCTCGGGGAAAAGCCTCTTCCCGCCTTGCCCTGGGCATGAATGCAGTTTGCAGTTTTAACAGCAGATGTCTCTCCTATTATGATTTATAAAAATGCTTAAAATAAATAATGCAAACATATTTACAGGAATGAATCGCTGCTCCTGAGCGCGTTTGTCACTCGGAGGCTCCGGAGCAGGAGCGCCTCCCTCGCTGCCTCCCCGCTCCCCCCGCCGGCGCTGCGGCTGCTGCCAGAGCCCAGGGCAGGGTGGCCAAATCCCAAAAAAACCCCCCATCCCCTCCCCAAACCCCGGCTCTGGGCCCACACCGGCGTTTCAATACCGACGTTGTATAATCAACGCGTTAAATATTTAAAATGGTCGCGCAGGAGAGCTGCCCGGCGGTGCCTGATTTCACACATCCTGACAATTTCACGGACCTCTGGGCTTACGTTTCTTGGCAAATAATGAAAGGCGGTGGGAGCCCCTTGCTGGAAGGGCGCGTCGGGGAGGTTTGCCCTGGCCGCAACTCCTCCAAAGCGATGCGACTGTCGCGGCGCCGCTCCCACCTCCGCGCCGCCCATGTCCAATGCTTTTAAGCGTGACCTTGGCGCGGCTGCGGCCGTCACGCCGCCGAGGTGACTCAAAGCAGAGCGGGGCCCGGGGAGGGGGGCACGGCCGGGGGCTCGGAGCTTCCCATGGAACAACTTTTTTTTTTTTTTTTTTTTTTTTTTTTTTTTTTTTTTTTAATTTTTTTTCCACACAAAGAGCCGCCGTACCTGCGGTGATGCGAGCGGCCGGCCCGTTTCCATAGCTCCGCTCTGCCCAGCCCAGCACCGGCAGCTTATCTGCCATCATCCCGCTCCTCCGTCCCTACCTGCCCGCGGCCGGGCTCGCTGGCAACGCAGGAGAATGTCTTTTCCCAGCAGAGCCCTGCGAGGATTTCTTCCTGCTGTGATTTTGTCTCGTTTCCAAAGGTTCTCGTATAACCGGTGCTGAGGAAGCAGAGCACAAAGCGGGGCAGCTACAGGAGCTTCCCCGAGCAGGGGATGGGGTGAGAGGCTGTCCCAGCCTGGAGGACACCCCGAGAGGCTGTCCCAGCCTGGAGGACACCCCGAGAGGCTCTGCTGCTTCAGTCCTGATGAAGGAAAGGTGAGGGGAGGCATCAAAAAGGACTCATGTGTCTCCCTAGCCAAACTCCCTAGCCAAACTCCCTAACCAAGCTCCTCCTGGCTCAGCCACCACAGGGTGGTGGAGGGCAGAATTTTCTCCCCAGTGAGGCAGATCCTGCCTGGGTTGGAGCTCCGTGGGAGCCCAGAACCACAGCCTCTGAAAACAGGCACAGAAATTGGGCTGGAAAGCCTGCTCCAGGAGGAGTGGGGGTGTTTGTGGCCTCCTGAAGGGGTGACTTGCTCCAGTTCCTTGCCTTTTGCAGGTTGCCTCGGCAAGGAGCAGAAGCAGCGGGCGTGCAGATGCATGAGGAGTCTCTGCTTCAGCCTTTGTCATGGTGAAGACACATTCCAGGTAGCACAAGCAGGAAATCGTGAACTGAATACCCTGACATCCTCCAAGTGAGGGTCTTACATCCTTCCCTGCCTCAGCCAGAGCCACAGCCAGCGCTGCACATCCCACCCATCCCATCCTCCACTTCCCAGCCCCAGAGCTGGATCTGTGGGCAAAGCCAGGACAGAGAGCTACCAGCCCCTGGGTTGGTCAGAGGACTGTGGCCATGCCAGCATCACACCCTGCAGAGCCCAGCAGGACAGCAGCACACACAATAAAAGCTGCTCAGCACTCTGCATCCTCTGACTGTCCATGTAGGAAAGGCAGATCCTCACATGGATCCATCCACAACTTCCCAAGCTGGGATTGTTACCAGTGATAGCTCATCACCAAAATCTCTGATTTCAGAGGGGCTGTAATTATTTTTCTCTGGTGACCAGCAGCAGGACCTGGGGGAATGGCTGGAGCTGTGTCAGGAGAGACTTAGGCTGGATATTTGGAAAAGGTTCTTGTCCCAAAGGGTGGTCAGGCACTGAGCAGGTTTCTCAAGGCAGTGGTCACAGCCACAAGGCTGACAGAGCTCAGGATGAGCTTGTCAGTGCTCTCAGATATCCCCTGGGATATCCCCTGCAGGGCCAGGAGCTGGACACAATGACTCTTATGGATTCCTTCCAGGTCAGGGCATTCCATGATTCTATGATTCTATGATTTGGGAATTTGGGCTCCATCTGAAAGGACAGGGAGCATCTGTTAGCTTGGGAAGAGAAGTGTTTATTTTGATTTCTCTGGTATTAGAGGAACTTTGTGACTTTTCACTTGCCATCTAGTAAAGTCAATTATTTCAGTAGTGGATAAAACCAAGAGCCTCCTGCTGTTCAAAGCAACACTTTTTTGTTTCAGAAAGAACATCTAGAACAGTTCATTTGGGTTGACCCAAAGTTATTTCTTTCCCCTGGGTTTTTGATTAAACAGCCCAAACAATGCAACCCCACTCATGCTCCCAGCCCAAGGATACTTTTTGCCACACATCAAGTGCCTGCTTGAAATTTTCCATGCTTTGTGGCTGAGTCAGACTACATTTTTCTCTCCAAAATTTAAGCAAAAACTCATTTCTGAGAAGAGAGCTTTGCCCACCAGGCAGGACCATGAAGCTTTCCCACAGCCTTGCCTGGAATCAGGAATGAGATGGCTGTGCTGGGCCTTGCTCCATTTCCCAAGGAGCTGCACATGCATTTGGGGGAATTGCCAGCCTCTGGGAATGGTTGTTTGCAGAGGAGTTTGCAGCCTGGAAATGTCACAGAATTTGCTCAGCCTCTGGAAAACCAAGATATTCCAGGGAGCAGAGGGCAGCCACGAGGATGGACAGGGTGAAGCATCTCTGTGCCCAGCAGCTGATGCCCAGGGAAAGGACAGAGCCAGGGTCTGCAGGGATGAGATGCTCCCAGCCCTGGTAAAGTGACTCAAGGACTTTGCAAGATGGAGATGGAATGTTTGTGTTTTCTCTTCTTTCTGGCTTTTTTTTTTCTTTTTTTTTTCTTTTTTTTTTCCTAATCTCTCTCTGCCAGGTTTGAAAGCTGTACCTGCAGGACAGTTCAAACTCTGGTGTGACCTCACCTGCCTCACACCTCACCCATGCTGGTGCAGCCTCCTGGATCCCACCTGGGGGCAAAGAGAGGTGATGATGCCACGGTTGCTGCAGACAGAACCTCCAGGACCTCACACCATCAGAAGGGCTTCGTTTCCCAGCAGAGCTCCAGAGGCAGCTGGAGAAGGAGGCAGGGGACACCCAGTGAAACCAAGCAATGCCACTGGGGCCAAGGAAATCCACAGGGCCCTGAAAAAGGAACAGGACAAGGCTGGCAAGCTCAGGAGTGCTCATGTCCCACCATGGCCGTGCTTCCTGAGCCGTATTTCCAAACTGTCCCACGAGCCTTGGGTGGCACCTGGGCACGGGGCACTGTGCCAGCCCTGTGCCTGCCCTTCAGGAGGGCTGCAGAGGGAAAGCCCCAGGGCAGGTCCTCAGCTTTCTGCAGCTGCTGCTGGGCTGAAAACTGTCTGTGCTGGGCAGCAAAGGCACTGCCACCCCACCTGTGCCCACAGCATCGTCTCACCCAGGTGGGACAGGCTGTGACCTGGCTGTGGGAGGAACCAAAAGGCTCCCAGGCAGCAAATGCAGCAGCCCAGGCTGTGCTGGGTGTCAGCTCAGCTCTGCTTGGCACAGACATGACTCAGGACAAGCAGCACACTCCTCCGAGACAGCTGCAGCAGCAGGCATGGCAAGTGAGGTCCATTTCCCTCTTTTCCCTGCTGTCCTGGAGCTCTGACACTGCCAAGAAAAGCAAAGATGCCCAAAAACTGTGACTGGAATATGAATGTGATGTTCAGGCTGTGGCAGTGGCTGTCACCCAGCTTGAACTGCCCAGCCACAGAGATCCATCCTGAGCTGCAGGCAGCAGGGGCGAGGCCAGCCCAGCTGAAAAACCTTTCCTGCAGCCCCAGCCCTCCTGTCCCAGCCTGCCCACAGCCCTCTGCTTGCCCACGGAGCTCTCCTGCCTGCCTGTGCCACAGCCCGCTGTCCTTGGCATCCCCAGGGCACAGCAGAGGCTGAGGCCGTGTCTGAGCAGATGCTGAAGGAGAGGGAGTTACCCACACGTGGTCATGGCTGGGAAAGGTCCAGGCCACTGGGTCTGCTCACGGTGGAGAGCAGAGTAAGGGATGTGGAGGTGAGAAATCCACCAGCTCTGAGCACAGGCGCTGCACCCCCAGGCAGTGAGGGGGTGCCAGGGCTGGACACTCCTGCCTGAGGGCTGTGGTCAGTGGGACTCCACCAGCCTCCAGCTCTTTGGCCCTGAAAAGGACCAGAAAGCTCAGGAAAAGCTTCTGCACACTATATCCAGCAGAGCAGGGCTGCCTGGCCCTCCCTTTCCACGGGTGTAACTCCTCCACACTCAGCCAGCTCCAGCTCCACAGAGCCCAGCTGAAGAGCTGCCTCGGGTTTTCCACCCTCAACACACCAGAGCAGAGGTTTGGGATGAGGCAGAAGGGCCACGTTGGACTGACAACATCCATGGAACAAGACTGAGGTCCCCAGGGTGCAGCACCCACGTGTGAACCATGCCTTGCTTGTAGGGTGTGGGAATTCAGGGCTTCCCTCTGGCTGCCCTGGCAGGTCTGGAACCCTGGCAGGGGTCAGGAACCCCCCTGGACAGAGCCCCCAGAGACACTGTCTGTGATCTCTGTCCATGGAAAAGAGTTTTCAATCTTACAGGATGAATTACCAGCTCTGAGTGTTTGATATAAGTAATAATTAAGTGTGGCACGGGTGTAAAAGTAAAATTTTAGGGCACAAGATGGAGGAAATTGGGTGTGCCTTGTCCTTTTTCTCCTTCTTCATGCCCTCCATGTTTCACTGCGGTGTTGGCATTTTTCTGTTGGTTTAGGCTGGGGACACACTGTCCAACGTAGGTGACAGATATTGGCACATTATTGTAAATCCAGCACAGGTAGTTTGTGGTATTTAATGTTTGTACCATCCCACTGAGGGCAGAGCCCCACACGCTGCCCTGCAGGACAGAGCTGCGGCAGGGCAGCAGAACATGTTAGAGATAAACAGAATAAACAACCTTGAAACAGCACAGACCAATTATGGCTTCTGCTTTGGCAGTGGGGCAGAAAGACAGAGACTTTCTACAATCTCGGGATCATCAATACCTCAGATTCTGACAGTAGGGGCTGCACATATTCCAGTCATGGCTTTGGGGGCACCTTGCCCCACTTTGGAGATGGATGGGGCTTATCCATGGCGTGAAGGATGCTGCAGGGCTCTGTGGGCAGCAGAGGCTTTGCTGCTCCTGGGCTGGCAGAAGGGCTGAGCAGGGCTTGCTCTCCAGCAGCTGTGAGGGAAGGAGGGAAGAGGAGGAAGAAAGGCTGCTGCAGATCTGCTCGAGCAGGCAGCACTGGGATCTGTGTTAAGAACTGGCTTCCCCAAGTTTAGGAGGCTGAGAGATGCCTGGAATAAATTACTTGTGACACTGACTCCTACACTTCCAGACTCAGGCAGGATTTAGCCACCAGGCTCCCGGGGAAGTCAGCGCTGGTTATTAAGGTCAGGAGAAGTCGGTGGCTAAATCCTACCTGGGGCTGAGGCACAGGGCTGTGCCAGGCTGGGGTGCCCCCTGGCACCGCTCCCCAACACCCAGAGCAGCCTGGGAGTGCTCCTGTCACA